GACGTAAGATGATCTTTAGTCATGGAAACCATAGCATGTAAACAGCATCTCATAAACTACAGATACTTCGATCAACGACCCATTCGCAGCTCTCAAGTAGGGCAGGCGAGACCTTCTCTACTGGCGATCGTAGTTCCATCCGTCCTGCCGTTGATTTCCGATACGTTGGCACCTTTGTCAAGTTGAAATTTCGCGTTCACATCCTGCAGCTTGACATTTAAGTGGCGACGATGGGAGTTCAGCACGTTCAACTTGACAACTTTTTTCATGGAATTCGGGCAAGTGTTCTGACGGGCGGTTGCTAACCCACTGTCCTTTGTTTCCACAAGCGTAGCATACATCGTCACGTCGACAACCTCCAGTGGATTCTTGCCAGGGCATTGTTCAGACCGCGCCGATATCCGCCCGAACCCCTAGCTGATTTTACGTATTTTCAATTATTTGAATTACCTGTATCATCTGTATTCGCGTTAATCGTCGTTTGACACAAGCGGGTCCGGTAACGCCTCCATTTGTCCCTGTCGCGAGCGATCATTGACCAACGTCTTCTCATCGCACCAGGTACACAGGAACGCTCTGAAGGACTTCTTTGAGGGACTTCGTGAACATGTCCGAATCGAGTCGGCGGTCTTCCTGATCCGGCTTTGACGTCCAACGGGGTCCAATCCGTTACAATTCTGGTCCACCGATTGTTGTCGAAACGCATCACGTGTCTGGCCCATCCGATTTTATTGTGTTTGGCGTATGCGGCAGCATCCCTGATCTTCAATCTTTGACGTAGGATGGACCTTCGTATTCCTTCCCTCACCTGCACCAGTCGGGACACTCCTAACATCGCTATCTCAACACCGCGTTTGATGACGCTCACCGCATGTTCGTCCTGCTTCCTCATGGTCCTTTCCGAAGCGTTGTCAAAGCAGGCAGAACCGTCGTATTGAAGAGATGGGCGTGGAGCTGGGTTTCCTGGTCCTTTTCACTACGTCCTCAATCGCCTTGTATGCTCACATGCAGCTCGTTTCCTCCTGCTCATCCGGGGTTAAATCGTTCATCACGTTGACTTCCCGCCCTAGGCAGACGTAGCTAGAGCATTCGGCGCGTCATTCCATTCAGTGTGAAAGGAGCATCAGGAACCATCCGTTTCTCATGAACACGTCTTTGGTCAGATTTAGCTTTAGACCGATCTCCCCACACACGTCGTCAAACTGGGCCAGCATTCGTTCCGCT